CTGTTGCAGCAGAAAACTTTTGCTGTGCAAGAGACTCTCATGTGGCGGGAAAATTCCACCGTGCCGAGGCACTAAAACCATTGGGTTGTGACAAAAATCAACTCCCTTAAAAGCACCAAAAAGCCCTGCTGAAGTGCCCAATCTATAGACGCTCCAGAATCACGTCAAACTAACGTGCTACTTCTTCTGGTAAAGCATAGTGGGGGGTTTCCCCACATCTGCAAACAGCCATTTACAAGATGCAGATTGTGTCAACCAAATTTAGAGTTTCCATCTCACCAAAACATTTTTTTAAAAACCTACAGAAATATATGCATGCATAAAAACTAAACTTTGCACAGTGGAAGGTTGACATTTTCAAAAATTAGCACAAAAATTCTTACTTTAAAACAAATTTGCTCCCAAGATAAAAGTAAGCAGATTAAATATTCACTTTAAAGTGAAGTCTGACAAAGTTAAAATCCATTAGAAAAATACCCTATGTAATTGAAAATACTTCCCCAATATTACCCAAAGACCAGGCCCTTTAAATTCCACAGTACACCAGATTAAAAATAAACAAAAATAATCCCTAATTTCTACATCTTGATATAATTAAATACCATGTTTACTTGAACAGAAGACAACCCTGATAATAAGACAACCCCCCCCAAATAATTTAAATATGGAAAACATATACATTTGATATAATTTTCCAGGTATAAAATCTAATTATTGGAGGTTTGCCTAAATTTTGCCCTCCTCCCACTGCTATAGAAGGGAAAATAAAACTGGGGAGTCAGGTAGCCCCAAGACGCTGCTTCCCCCCAGCTTTTTATCCTGGCAATGCCTTCCTCCCATGTCAGACGCTGCTCTCCTGGAGCACATGGAAGCGAGGAGCAAATTTGTAAGCAATAACCTTGAAACTAAATACGGCTGTAGTTATTTGCATATAGTACCCATATACTTAATTCATCAAGAACTGATGCATGTTACCTTTTTAAAAAAAATAAAAAACTGCTGCAAGCTTTAAGACAGGTACTCCATAAACACATTTTTGAGCATATGCATGATATTAATCCAAAGCCAAAGGCTTGTGATTTACTACATAGTTCATTGGGTTGGCCCCACCAGAGTCAAAAGCATGTCAAGCCATGGTGACCCCTCAGCTCAGCACTGCTCAGTATGTGTGTGTTCTCCAGATACTCCCCCACAAAGGACTGGCATGGTAATTAGCCCCTGCTCATGACTGAAACTAGGTGTTCTTGTCATGAGTCCTTTTCCACAAATTTATATGCAGATGAGATGTAGGGCAGCCTGGTCCAGCTTCACCTCATTGAGGGCAGGACCACACTAATCATATGCACCAGGCTGAGAGAGGGGTGATAGAGGGATGCTGGGTGAACTATTTGGGGTCCCATTTCATGATGTTTGCAAGGCATTTAAGGCCAGTGAAAAAACAGGAATCACTGGAAATGAGAAAGGCTCAGCTCAGCTTTGGGAGTGAAAAATAAAAATGTATGCAATGCCACAGCTCACCATGACATGGAAAAGAGTTGGCTACTATATATGTTATTCAGATGGACTGTACTAACCCATCTTTGTGGCAGTTCCCATCAGCATATTTGTCTAATATGGGCATGTGTTTTATTGTCATGCTCAATGTTGGCTGCATTTAATCAACTTCATAGTTGGTTTCTATTGCTAAGAATATGCTGCTTTTGTCAGCGGTTTAATATTAGACAATGTATTTAGTGAGATTTCCCCCAACTGGCCTGGGGGAAAATGTCACTTATCTTATAATCACATGCAAGGAAAAAATCTCTTTTGCATTTGAGTAAATATGGCATGTATTCATTTCTTTTTGCAACTAATTCAATGAAGAACTTAAGATGTCTCTGCTACTTTATTGTGCTACACCCACCACTGAGTTCTTACATAGAGATTTGACTGGTAAATCTCAAAGGAATTTACTGATTAACTACATTTTACATAAGGGAAAAGTCAGGAACAGGGAGGGAACTGAGTTGAGCACCATTTCCCATCACACCAATAGCAGAGCGAGGAATAGAACCCAAGTCCCAGTCCAATACTTGCTCCCTTAAATTCAGGCAGTGACATTGCTGGTCATCTTTATAGGTTTTACTGTTCACAACCCTTTAAGTAAGCGAAGTCACTACCTTCCAGAGATTTCTCCAAGCTGGCTACAATTTTCAAAATTATATCATCGTATAGGTTTATAATTTATTTATATTTTGGAGCCTTTTTAAACAACTATGTTACCATAAGCAACCCAATAACAGCGATTGAGAAGACAATTTAATATGTCTTGTAGTACTAGATTTTTTAAAAATCTAGACACATCTAAGTCCAAAACTTCAAGTTTTTGCCCTACTGAAAACATCAAGACTTAAGAAAATGCACATAAAAAATATACTGCATATAAATCCAACCAGGTAATATTAAGAAAAATCTCAAACTAAAATAAATCCAATACCTCAGGTGTTAATTTAGTTTCTCTAATTGCTTTCTTTTTGTCATCTTTAGCATCTCTGCCTTGGGAGGAAGAACGACGTCTCCCTCTTGCTGGCCGGCCAGGAGACCGAGATCTTGATCTGCTACCACCACGTCTAGAAGGAGAGCTTGAATTGCTTTTCCTATGCTTAAATGCTGATACTGACTGAAAGAAACAGGAAAAATTTCAAAGGTTATGACATGAAGGACGAAAAAAGCTTCAGGTTCATTTTACCATCTTCGGTCTATAAATCAGACTTTCACACTACAGTCATTTTTCTGTTATTTGTTAAAATGCTTACATCATTGAAATTCATCTGTAATAACTGTGACAATTCTTCAACGTTTGTAATAAATGTAATTACTCAGAAAGGGGCTCAACTATCATCCCTAGTGACTTAATTGCAATGGAGACCATGGAAATGCAAGCTTCCCTACTCAGCTAACGTCACTCAAGGCTGATCTGGAGGAACAGCCTGATTAATATTTAGCCTCAAGTCTTCCATTTCTAGCTGAGTCCTGAGCAGTTGTACCAAGAGATATATTTGATTACCTCTCATCTTCACCATTATAAATTTAGTTGCAGTAGAGGCTGCAATGATATAAAAGTAAGAGAGATCTCTACCCTAGCAATAGCAAAGATCAAGGTGACTAGTTAGATCTGTCAACTATCTACCCTAGATTTTGAAGCATTGTTGACACTTCTGAAGATCAGCAAGGTAGACAGTACTGCCCTGAGAAAACTTCTCATACACTCCAGAGCAGTTATTCCAGAGAATAGATGTGGGCAATGGTCTTCTGTCCTCAGGGCCCTCACATGGGAGTTCAACAGGGCTCCATTTTATTTCCCCTATTCAAAGTGCACACAGGGCTGTTGGGAGGCAGATACTACAACAGATTGAGAATGCTAGCAACTCCCGCATCACTTTTTGTCCTAAGTGCAGCTACTGCAGTCAATGACTCCTTGCCATATCAGATCATACAACTGGATTTAGGTGCTGCCAAATCCGGCCCACAAGCCAAACCTGTGCCACTCATCTGGTCCACAAAACCAGAAGACTAGGTACCACTGCACTATGCTATCTGTATTACCACCTCAAGCACAGAATTCCAAGTACTAATATACTGCTTGTGTTACACAGCTGAAGACAGACAATACATGTCTGGGAAAACCACTTCTTAGGCCTTTACATAATCTTTTACAGAATACCTCTAAGAATGGAGCCTTAGTATCTTAAGCAGACTATCATCAACTAAAAAGTACACACATCTAAAATGGTGTACCTTTTATCTGTATAATACTATAATTGAAAGCTTTATTTATCCAGTTTACTTAATATATTTGACAGTACTTTGAAGACAGTTCTAATGTTCTGCTGATATCAGTTACACTTCCTATGTCATGCACTCACATGAGGATATCACATTCAAGAGAATCCCATATGCAGGCTCTTCATAAAGGTGTATGCCAGTATCAGCAAATGAAATAAATTTGAAACAACAAACAGGTATGCACAGAGAGAGTAAGGATATTTAAGACTTTAAATATCATGTCCCCACTATAGAGTGTTATCACAAACTTTTTTTTTTTTTTTTTTTGGGGGGGGGCTTGGTGGTGGGAGGTGGGGGGGAGGGGCGAAAAGAAATGCCAATTGTTTTTATCAACACAAACACACATTAACAACGTTTTAGTTAATAGCTTTGTAAGCAGTACCAAAACAGTTTTGGGGTACAATCCTCCTGTGGGAGTTCTTGCAGAAATGAACCTTCATTTTCTAAACATACAACCAGTTTTCAAAACACAGAATAGGATCAAGTTTCTTAAAAATTTTAGGAACATTTTGAATTTCTTAACCAAGGTTTCAAACAAGAAACAGTGATTATTTACAAGCAATTACTTATAAACCAAAAGTATTCTACTATAGAGCAAAAATAAAGTTAGAGAGACAAATTTATGAAGGACAAGTCCATTGGGAGTTATTAAACAGAACAAACGGGGACATATCCTGACATTCCTAAACCAATGATGTTTGATGCCAGGGAGGGTCTGACAGGAGATGAATCATTCTAAACATGACAATTCATATACTCTCCTTCTAAAGCACCTACTACTCTGGAAGGAGGCAGATACTGGGCTAGATGGACTAATGGTCTGGACCCAGTATGGCACTTCTTATAGTTACCCAACTATTATAAACTTAAGTTTTAGTTCTGAAGAAATCAGTATAGTAGACTTTGATTCTAAATACTGTTGACCGTGAAGGAGTACTCACCTTTATATCACTTTCTTTCAACTCAAGCTCAGTTCCATCTTTGTATTTAACAGTATAAAGGTGAGTGAGGTCATCGTAGCTAGTTATCTGTACTTCATAATAGAGGACACTTCCAGGCCAACGACCCATCACCACATCACCATCACCAAATTTTCTGTGTGGCATTTTCCAAAATGAATCTTTAAAAAAAGAAAGAAAGAAAGAATGAAAAACTTGGCTTTCATTTCCATCACTCTTTAAGTATTGTACGGTATCACCATTGCAATAGTCTTTTTTTAACATAATATAGTTAACTTGTATATTGGATATATTACTTGCAGATGCTAGAAAGGCTACTTCAAAAAAACATTAACATTGCAAAATAATATCAAATATTCAAAAGCCAGGGAACTCCACATTTTTGATTGCCTGTGAAATCTTTATTTGTGCCTACCCTCAACTTAAGCATGTGTCACGTGATTTTTAATTACATGACTATGCATTATTTAGCCACAGGACACCTATCTACCTCTCAAGATGCATCCAGCATGGGCAGAAAACAGGGTTCTTTACTGCAGGACACTGCAGTGCCCGTGTTAGCTGGCATGACTCAAGGCAACTGCTCCCTCGCCCCCAGCCTAATTTTTAGACATATAGGGAACCTCTCCCCAACCATGCTCCAACTGATGCAGAGCTGGACCCTGAGGGCCGAGTCCAAACTAATACCAGTCCCAATGTACCAGGTCTAACCCTGCCTGCTAACTCTAGGACCACACACTAAGTTGGACCCAGCCCATGGCTCCAGAACCAGCGTATGGTCCCAGACTTGGCATAGTCATTGTGCAGCTCTAGACCCAGCGTGCTTGGTCAGTCCACAGGCCCCATCCACCACACAGGATGGGCAGTGGGCTCAACTCCCTAGTTGCTGCCACTCACCAGAAGAAAATTTTTTTTTCCTTCAAGCTCCCGGTCAAGAATCAAGGTACATACTATATACAAGGAATACAGGAAACCCTCGCCATTTGTGGTTTTGAATATTTGAACCCATGCTCTTGCCAGCTCTCGCCACACTCTCCTTATAGCTTTCACTAATTAACTGACTTGCAGCAGCAGTAGTAATTGAGGGAGCGCGGCAGCAATTAATGCTCATTGTGGATCACGAGCTCCTCCGAGATCACTGATCAATCGATCTGCTGCCCTGCTTCGGAGGAAGTTTTTTCTCTCAAGATTAGTCTTCAGCAGGTCCATCCAGCCCGCTCCTCTTCACTCTTCCCTCCCCCACTGCTGTCAGCACCGGCAGTGTCTGCAGGAGCTCTGCGCTTGCTGCCACTGGGCTCCCGCCGCCAGGCTCCTAACGTATTTGCAGATTTCGCTGTTCATGGGGATCTCTGGAACATATTCCCTACAAATGATGAGGGTCTCCTGTACTATGTGCAAAGGTATATAGTGTATTCTATCCTTGTTTTTGTTGCAGTGCAATTGCAGTCAAGTCACTTAAATATTTTACAAGCTCTACCTCTGTGTTCTTTGCTTTTGGGTGCCCAACTTAATACCACAGGGTACAAATTTCCAGAAACACTAAGTATTTGCCACTGCAACTGAAGTCAATTGGAACTGTACTTGGACATTATGAAGTATTATGAAATACAAAGAACTGAAAAACCAGATTTTTCTTCTAAAAAAAGGGCACCTACGATTAGTGAATAATTCCATTCTTAATTTTAGTGCCTCAGTTCCTCATGCATAAAAGAGAAATAACATAACCACCTAGCATCGTGTGAGGAAAAAATTAATTTGGTTTATTAACATTTACAAAACATTAAGATACTACAAGACACTCTGCCAAAGCCCCCCACCCATGCTGGACTGGAGGTGAGTTGTTTCACCCACAGCTTGAACAGGTTGCCAGTCCCTGATCTAGCCTGTACTTTAATGAGGCATAACTTTCTGTAGAGAAAAAGTACACAATGATGAAATTAAAGACTATTACGATGCAATGTTCAACAAAAGGCCATGAAGTAAGGTTTCACAGGCAACCTTAATTCTTTTATTTCTTAGCTTTTGATATTATTTTGAAGTGTGTGTAGTTTTAAAAAGCAAAAAAAAAATCCCAGAAAAAAATCATCACACTAGTTTCACCAAGTTTTCATCATCTTGACACCCACTCAAAAACAGAACACTGAACCTCTGACCTCTGCCACTGGGGTTAGAAGTGGGTCACTGTCCTCCATGTGGACCTGCACTACCAGATGTTACACATGCTTCGCCAGCCAGCTTCCCAGATATTTGCCCATAAAAAGAATGCTTGGCAGAAGCAAATCCAGATAGGATGTAATGGTGCAGTTTTTTTCGATCACAGTGCACTGCAGGAGCCTCCAGGGATTTTAAGCCCCTAAAGCAGGTGAAAATCCCCCCTCCCTTCCCCTTGGTGTTCAGAGGCACATTTCCTTCAGGTGCTCCTCCTTTCCCCCACTTTCCCCAGGGAGGAAGGAAGTTCTAGAGCTACTTCTCTCCAAGAAGCGGTTCTGATTTCAAGACTTTAAAAAGTTGTCAAAGGCTCCTGTGGCACCCACCCCTGCAAGGGGTAGGGAGAGAGAAGAGGCAGGGGTGAAGGAGACGGGGAGCAGGGAGTTGCAGCCATCCCTGCAGTGTGGGGTGCTGCTCCAGCACCCCCTTTGGGAAATCCTGCATCTGCCCCTGATGTTTGGATTCCATTTCAGGCTCTACAGGGAAGCCTGCTATTTGGGATCCAGACCTTCTACCCATTTCCCACTCCCAAGCAAAACACTGCCCTGTCCTCCACCCAGAGCCAGCCCAAGCAGGGTGTGGGGCTCGGGGCAAATCAACCCATGCGGGGCCCTGCCCCTGCCAGGCCCGATCCCATGTGCAAACGGCTGGATGGGAAGCTGGCAGTACAGAGTTGCCATGGCCAGTCTGCAGGGCCCCCAAAACGCAGTGCCTGAGGCAGTGGCCCCAATTTGCCGCCCCCCCCCAGCTTCATATCCAGAACTTCCTTGGTCAATTTTTTTTAATGTCATGTATATTAGTCAAATCAGTTCCAAATTCCATTGACTGAGCAGAGCTGTGTGGTGCTACCACCAGCAAGTATCCTCTCTCTCAGATTCAACAGTCCTGGGTTTCAGATATTCCCAAATCCATGGTAGGCATCCTATGTTCAAACCCCAAGACCAAAGGCGTTAGGATTCAGATGCCCCCTAATCTCACTTGCCCCTAGCCAAAGGCCATAGAAGCAAGCTAAGAGCAATCTCCCACTGCTATAAAATGTGTAGCCAAAATCCTCCCACTGGGAGGCTACAGTAGACTCTCTCTCATAGGGGTGCCTGCCCGCAGTGCAATGGACAGGTCTCCACCCTCAACTACACCAAGTAATTCAAAGTAGAGAAGAAGGGCATCTTCCCCCCCAGGTACAGTAAAAACACCTGGACCAATACCAATATCATGGTATCTCCTCAACTTCTTGCTCAGTAAGTCACTGGTTCCTCCCTCCCATCTCTTGTCCTATCCATCTTATGTCTCACTTTCAAATTGGCTTCCAGACAAGTTCTCCCTAGCTCAGCTTAACTCTTCCAGCCTCTTTGTCTCAATTCTACAGCCCACCTTGGTCATTTGTCTCCCCATCGCTCATCCTCCTAGAGCTAGTTCCCCAGACTGTGGGGGATATCCAGAAAAAATAAAAACAGATTTGTCGTAAGAATATAATCTTATTTAAGAATTATATTTGAGTTTAAAATCATGCATTTCAAGCAGCAAGCTCACCATAAACTAACAATTTAAGTATACAGCTCTGAAATGTTTCAGTAAAGTAGGAGGTATCAATTATTGTGGCCTACATATGTATACTGGGTACTCTTTATCTATAACTGCATACCTATGACATTTTATTCAACATGCTTCAAGGCATGTTTTTGTCACCAGATCCCCTAATATCAGTAAATTGGTTCCTCAGGCTGTTCTAAAAGAACTGTTAACTGACTTCACATACTCGAAGTCCAATTTATTTGAATGTATAATGCTGATTTTCTGCATTTCCCTACCACTCCACCATTTCAATGAGAGTTCAGAAACCAAAGCTGATGATAACTCAAAAGGATTGAGTAATGCTTGACTAAGCTGTGGATGCTCCATAAATTGAGCACAATCTAAAGTTTCAGACCCAGTTAGAAGGAAAAACTGTCACCGAGTTGCTGGCTGACCTATTAGTGAAGTAACCCAGAGACAATGAAGTCCCACATAAGAGGACACCTTTTGCCCTCCCTTGGACAAGTTGTTAATGGTTACACTTTACACTAGTCAGGATAGAAAGCGACAGGAAAACACTAGCTTGCAGTTTTCAATGCAAGAGCCCTACCACCAAAATTATATTCATAAGCAGCTAAAGTTTTACTGCAACACTGCTGCTCTGGAGTGATGAAGGAGCTACAACCCCTTCTCCACAAGAACACTGAAAATGCTTCCAAAAACACTGACCTCCCTCACTATTCTTCAATAGCCCATCTCTCTAACAGGACAGATGTATACAACTAAAAGGAGAAAAAAATAACCTAAAGAAATAGCCACTCCTGTCTAAAAGAGTTGGAAAGTACTCCAAAGGAACCCCCTTAGAGTTTGGAGGCCAAACTCTGAAGAGCTGAACACTGATGCATCATGCTGTGTGCCAGAAAAGGAAGCCACCTGCACATAAGAAAAGACAAATAAAAGCACAGGGATAAGGAGGAAATTGCCAACTGTTCTACCAGATATAGCTACTGACATCTAAGGGAGAACTTCTGCATTCATTCAATGAGAACAAGCTATAAAGAACAATTTTCGGATCACTGTTATTTATATAATTTATCTGACCACTTATCTTACAGAGGCAATGCACTCACTGGCATCTACCATCATGTGAACATCACTTGACTAAACAGTAAACCAGTGTAGTTAGAGCTTCAGCATTCAAAGCATTTCCCCCGTGCTACTGCTCTAACTTGCTGGTACTAGTGGAGTTGCACTTCTATATGCACTTGCTCCGTGTGTTCTCTGGTGACTGATCTTCACACTGTACTTTGTATTTTAGAAAGTGGCACTTTCAGAACAGGAACTGTGCCCCACAGGCTGCACAGTAAGATGCAGTCCAAGTGCTACTTAAAAGCAAATAAGTAATACTGTATCCATCCTTTAGAAAGAAAAAAGCTTTTTC